GTTACCAAAGGGGAGGGGTGTGGGAGGGTGGGTGGGGAGAGAGGGGGAAGTGGATTGAGGGGTATTATGATTGGCACACATGGTGTGTGGGTGGGTCACAAGGAAGACAGTGTAGCACAGAGAAGATAAGTAGTGACTCTGTGGCATCTTACTACACTGATGGACAGTGACTGCAATGGGGTGTGTGGAGGACTTGATAATATGGGTGAATGTAGTAACCACTATGTTTTTCATGTGAAACCTTCATAAGAGTGTATATAAATGACACCTTAATAAAAAAAAAAAGAAAGAAAAAGTGGTGCAGCACAATCCTAAAGTCAAAAAACACACCAGTGCCATTCCACAATCCAGTTACAGTAATTGGGAAAATTAGAAAATAAGTAAAATGTAGCAAATTTTTCTTGAAACTAAATTTATTCAATTAAATGGACTAGCCTTTATTTTGAGAGAATATCTTTTCTACTTTTTATTGATAAATGCACTTTTTATCATCTGGAAAAAGACCAGAAATGCAGTATCTTTTTAATATTTTTAAAATATCCTTAATTGGTAAAATAAAAGTTAACAACTTTTACATTAATTCTTCCATTTCTGCCTTTTTAAAGACTTTTTTCATCTGAGCAGATAGCTGAGGAACAGAAATCTGGTATATTAAGCTAACTAAAGTCTCAAATAAGTATCCTAATAAAAACTAGAATGAGAACCTTCCTTTTATTTTCACTTACAAAGGAGCCTAACACTGAAGAGGGAAGGGAATAGAGCAAGAAAAACTGGAGGGCCATTTAAAAAATACCAGACTACCATGCTGATAGTAGTAAAGGAACATATACTTACTTCTAGGGGAAATGTAAACTATACGGTTTTCTATAAGATAATTCAACATCATGCTCTAGCACCTTAAAAATGTTATGCCCCTAAAAACTCAACAGTTCTTTTCCCAAGAACTTACATTATGGAAATAATCAGATTAAGTCTATAATGATTTTTGTACAAGGATGAATTATATATAAGAGCATTACAGCATTACTTAGAATAATGAAAACTTTTACTAATAAAAAATGAAACTACATCAAACTAAAAAGCTTTTGTACAGCAAAGGACACCATCAGCCGAACAAAAAGGCATTTTACAGTATGGGAGAATATATTTGTAAATGACATATCTGACAAGGGGTTAACATCCAAAATATATAAAGAACTAACACACCTCAACACCCAAAAAGCAAACAACCCAATTAAAAAATGGGTGGAGGATATGAACAGACAATTGTCCAAAAAAGAAATTCAGATGGCCAACAGGCACATGAAAAAATGCTCCACACTGCTAATTATCAGGGAAATGTAAATAAAAACCACAATGAGATATCACCTCACACAGTTAGGATGGCCAGTATTGAAAAGACTAAGAACAACAAATGCTGGCGAGGATGCGGAGAAAGGGGAACCCTCCTACACTGCTGGTGAGAATGTAAACTAGTTCAACCATTGTGGAAAGCAATATGGAGGTTCCTCAAAAAACTAAAAATAGAAATACCATTTGACCCGGAATTCTACTCCTAGGAATTTACCCAAAGAATACAAGTTCTCAGATTCAAAAAGACATATGTGCCCCTATGTTTATTGCAGCACTATTTACAATAGCCAAGATATGGAAGCAACCTAAGTGTCCATCAGTAGATGAATGGATAAAGAAGAGGTGATACATATATACAAGGGAATACTATTCAGCCAGAAGAAGAAAACAAATCCTACCATTTGCAACAACATGGATGGAGCTAGAGGGTATTATGCTCAGTGAAATAAGCCAGGTGGAGAAAGACAAATACCTAATGATTTCCCTCATTTGTGGAGTACAATAAGGAAGCAAAACTGAAGGAACAAAACAGCAACAGACTCACAGATTCCAAGAAGGGACTAGTGGTTACCAAAGGGGGTGGTGAGGAGGAGGGTGGAGAGGGAGAGAGAAGGGGATTGAGGGGTATTATGTTTAGTACACACGGTGTGGGGGGTTCCCAGGGAAGACAGTGTAGTACAGAGGATGCAGATAGTGATCTGTGGCATCTTACTATACTGTTGGGCAGTGACTGCAGTGGGGTATGGGGAGACATGATAATATGGGTGAATGTAATAACCATTGTTTTTTCATGTGAAACCTTCATAAGAGTGTATATCACTAATACCTTAGTAAAATAAAAATGGAACCAACTTGACTATCCATTAGTGTATTAATCATGTTTTCTGCTTTCTGTATTTTTTATGATGTTTTTGACATTCTGAGGACCTTGCTAGCCAGGGAGAGACTGTTCCCCCAAGATAGCTAACTCCTAGAAATAATAAACAACTTGCCTATCAACAAATCTCTCATAAACAAACCAACCAATCTCAAGTCTACCCCCCACCCCTGCAACAAAGGAGTCCTTTATCTAACTTTTGTATGCCAAGCCAGTATTTTCCCTTTCCTAAAGCAACTCTGGGCCAGGTACTAGAAAACTTAACAGGCTCTATGCCCCAAAGCTTGTTGAATTATTCAAAACTAGCCAGTCCTATGCTGTTTACCTTGCCCTACTTTGCTTTTCCCCTTGAGAACCCCAATAATGGCTGTGGTTCATGTCTTCCCCTTGCTCCTGCTTCTGCCTCATGACCAACTCTGGTGCTTCTCCATGTGGCTCTGCATGCTGTGCCATGACTCTCATTGTTAGGAGGACTGCAACATTAAACTTTTCTTTCAATGATGACCTTTCTGTGGTATCACTCAGTCACCTTTATAGATTAAAATCTAGGCACAAATCAGTTAGTAGGGGATAAAGGAATTTTGGTACATTTACATGCTGAAATACTGTCAGCCATTAAATGTATTTTTTGGGGGAAAACATTTATGAATGTTCCAAAACCTTTAAAGAGAGATTTAAGTGGAAAAAAATGTATATAAAACATTACATAAAGTTACAATCTGCAATATGTTTAAAAAGTACAAAAAAAACCCACATACATGTTAACTCTGGAAAAGAAAAAGGAAAAAGAGGGAAAGGAGAGGTACATATCAGAATGTTAGTGGTGGTTCTCTCTGGGCAGCAGAATTACCTACCAATTATTTTTGTTTCGTATGCCCTCTCTATGTACTTTCCAAATGTTCCATAATGAGCATGTATTATTATAGTGAGGAGAGTACATTCTAAGCATCAGGTTAAAGAAGAGATAATGTTCTACAAATTTAGTTGTCTTTAGTAATAAATCTACGTCTCCAAAGCATTCCATTAACTTTAAACCAACCAACTAAAGTAAATCATCATGACTGTCAATATAAAATAGATTTATTCAAATTACAAACTATCAGATCTGAAAGTTAAAGGATATTTCAAATGTAGGGAAATAATGTTATATACAATATATAGTATAGATTTGTTAAGACAAAATCAAAAATAAGAAAAATGCTTCATTACAAATCACAACAAATCTCCCTTTCCTGTTTTCCTGCTAAAATTTTTTTTTTTTTTAGTTTGAAACTTTTTCAAACATTCCTGGACACAGGACTGCATGATGCACAAACCACAGAATATTTGGCAATATGCAAAAATTGAGACAGTCTCCTGGGAGTCTAACTATTAAAAAACTACACAGCAGAATCAGGTCAACCAGTTCTCAGTATTATGATCCAAAACAAAGAATGTAGAAAAACAATTACATCATACTTTTCAATGTCCACTAGGATTTTTTAAAACTCTCTTTAAATATCAAACAATCCATAAACATGGAAATACAAGCCACCAGGAAATAGAGTATACATGGCTTAGTGTAAATCTGCAAACTAAATAGAAATATGGTATCTTTTAAAGTAGGAATGGACCCTTATCCAATTTAACTAAAACTGATTCTCCAGCCTGGGAAAGGAGGTTGGGGCAGGGAGTGAATATGAAATCCTGAACAGCAGGATGTTATAAACAAGGCATCTGAGCACAGACAGTTAAGTAGAAAAAAAGGTCTGGCTGTGATTAGCAGAGAGCACTGTAAGGCTTGAAGGGTCATTCAACTGTGAAGGCCCTTGCCAAATTAGGGACCTTCATTTTATCTTAAAGCAATAACACAAACATTTCCTTCACTAAGGAGGAGATATCTTCATGAGTCTTGAAGGATGAATAGGTTTTCAATGCTCAACAAGACAGGGGGAGGTAAGCATTCCAGGTGAAGGAACCAATGTGCAAGGTGGAGAGTATAGCACAAGATGAGAAACGTGGCTAAAACAGAGTGCATATTATGAAGGGCACTGGTTGTCTGAGTAAGGAACTTCTACTTAATGTATGTAATGGGAGTCAGTGGTGGTTTTGAGTAGGGGAGTGTCCTGACTGCAGCGACACCTAAGAAAAATGAATATGACAGTAATGCTGAGGGTGCAGTGGAGTAGGAAAGGCTGAAGACAGGAAATGTAATGCACAGAACCTTGTCACATCATGGGCGAGAGGTAACAAAGCCATCAGGAACATCACTTTTCACTATCCACCTCCGGGTCTCTCTATTCTACCCCTTCCCAATACATAGTGTTCTACCCCACCATTCACAATCTGCCAAACCTCACCCACTGTTCTCAGGGCTTAAGATCTAATACTTGTTAATACTCAAATACATGCTATAGGGAGTTAAGGGTTTCAATACTTTAGATCATCTCTTTTAAACAAAAAGCTGAGTATTAGCAACATTTATTAATCTTATCAAAAAATATTTTACAGATATTAAGTGTTCTTCTAATATTTTAATTTTGGAACCACTGGAAAAAAGAATACCTAACTGTTTCAGACATGGTGAGAGAAACTGCAACATGTTTCAATTACCTATAATACTGTAAAAACAACCGAAAATATCATTTAATCTAATTTTCAGCTAATAGCTATGCACTTCCCATATGAACAATACAACTGATTGATGTATGAAAAGCTAATAATGGTGTAACTAACAATATTAAGTTAATAACTGTATAGACAGTGATTTTAAATGACTGATTCACTATACCTCTTCATTTGATAGAGGGGCTAAAGATTCCTCGTGAGTTAAAGCACACACTACTGGCACTTTCATTTCTTCCTCAGCATCTGGTTTTTTGTGATCCTTTCTCTTATTAAGTCTTTGTTGTTCATCTTCCTCCTAAAAGTTAGAAATATATATATATATATATATATATTACCCAGGTAATCTATACTACTGATTCATATAGTTTGTTAAACATTCAAAACAAATAAAAAAAGAAAAGAGCTTTATGGTAAGAGAAAACTGGACACTTAAGTTTATTTGTTTTGTAATCAAATCTAAGGACACATGGTCACACCAAACTATTTAAATACTATAGGAACAAAGTATGAACCCTGGTAATAGGAAGAAATCAAGAAACCGCTTCCAAGAAGGGTATATTATGGGAAAGGCAAAACAAAAGAAATCCAACCACCCTCTCTTCTTCATATGATCCAAGAAAGAAAATTTACATAGAACATTCCTTCAGAGTACTGTAGAAAACAAAAAGGAAAAAGTTATGGCATTACACATCCATTAGAATTATGGGCAAATTTATATGAAATGCAAAAGAAATAACTGAAGTTGATATAATAATTCACTCAACAAAGATGAATTCTTAAGATATCTTCAATGTCCCCCCCAAAACAGTCTAGTAGGGAGCGACAAATGCCAAATTCCATTTCTATATAAATATGCACACGATTCTACAGGAGATAAAACTATTATTTCATCTGAGGGGGCTAGAAAAGGGAGCTCAAAGGTGACACTTGAATGGGATCTTGAAGTATCAGTAAGATGGGTTTGCCAACTGCCAGAGAGGAGATAAGCACAGGTTCCAGGGAGAAAGGAAGCATATACAAAAGCACAAGGGCTCAAAAGAGCAGGTATATGGGGGACACCATATTATCTATAACTGAGAAGAGGGCAGACACATGAGAAGTGAGGTACATGGAGAAGGGGTAGTGATTAATGCTTAGACTCTGGAATCAGAGATTGTTTCAAACCTCACATCTGCCAAAATCCTGACATTCTTTGAAGAGTTTTTGTTTTTGGTTTATTTAAGAACTACATGAGATAAAGCTTCATATATAAAGCTTTACACAGTGCTGACACATAGTAAAATTAAAAGCTCAGTAAATGTTAATGAAGGCTTTAAATGACCAGTTTTTAAATTTAGACTGTTTTAAAGGACAGCAGGAGAGACATGATTAGATCCATTCTTTACAATCTAAATCCTTAAGTGGACTGTGTCTACTTACAAAATGGATGAGTCAGAACTGAGACGGAAATTTAAAAAGGGAGAAACTTCTGAAGACCGAAATCTAATCCAAGTCATACAATTAATTTAAAATATTTCTTATAATACCTAGAAAAACTTTTATGTAGCTATCCTAGGGAAATATTTTCACACATACCCAACATAGGATATTATAGAATATAAGCTGCAACACTGTTTGAAATGACTAAAAAACCCCACAAAAAATCACAAAGCCATCTAGATGTCCACTACAAAGAGGGGAAAGGGATTAAATCAATTATAATACATCCATGCTACCAGTTAACAAAAATGAGCTAGATCTCTGATATGAAAATATATCCAAGATAATGTTTATGAGAAAAATAAGTTATATATACTTATACTAAGGTACCAGTTATATGAAACAAAAAAAAAAAGCCCTAAATACTGATATACTTATATACACACAGAAATGGTCTGGAAGACTACCTTCCAAACTGATTACTTCTGATTACAAAAGCGGTTACTTCTGGGAAGGGAGGTGTGGGAGTTATCAAGGGATATTTTCACTTTATTGTGCTGTATTTATTATTTCACTCTGTATTTAAAACAAAATATTTTAACATGAGGATGTATCTGTGTATTACTCATGTAATTTCAATAACTTTTTTTTAAAATAAGGAAAAAGGACGTAGGGTATACAGCTCTCTAGATACCTGCCTTTTTACATCATTTAGTCTCTCCATCCCCACACCACCACCTTCTAATAAGGCTTTTAGAGCAATGTCACAAAGAGGTGGCCTGGATTAACACAATTCAAAAGCCCTAGAGAACTAGACAGAACTGTAGAAAAAGATTCTCCTAAAAATATGCACTATTGCATCCTGCATCTCTAAAAACAATCATTTCTAAATTATTCCCCAGACAAGGCCATTTCTAAAGTTGGATAACAAAATCCCTCAAATTCAACTATTATGTGTTTTGAAGTGGGACACATCACCCTGTTTCGTGCTTGAGTCAATCTGTAATATACATAAAGTAATGCGAGCATGTGTGTGGGGTGGAGAGGCTGGGTAAGGATGGTATATCATTAACAAAGTAAGCAAGTCCTATAAAATTGCTATTCACCTGATCTTTCTTCTTCATTTCTTCAACTTGTCGGAGCTGTTCTGAAGTTAGCACAATCTCCATTCGCTGCATGTCCCTCATGAGCAAACGCTGAGATTCCAGAAACTGGTCATTGGCCTTCTGCCAAGTGTGTTTTAACTGGTTGTGTTGTTGTCGTTCTTGCTCCAAAAGATGGCAAACTGTTCAGGAATTCCCCAATCAGAAACACTGGATTTTAATGGCAGGCAATTTCCTTAATATGAGGCTACTAGACCAGGTCTGGCCAATGGTCCATTCTGCCTGGCATTCAGCCTCTGACAAGAACCAAGGGGCAACTTATCAAAGGACATGGCAGCTGTCCCCATCATCTCTCTAAGCAATGGCCCAAAGTGTGTTTCAAGGAACAGGAACATGTGAAAAAAACAACCACCACCAACAACAAAAATTCCTGTGCTTAGTAAATTTTAGAAACCCCAGATTAAATACACTTTTAAAGATTTTTTTATCACAGAACTTTGAGCTCAGGTTCTAAATATGCCAATGCTCCCTTGGAAATACAGTATTTCCCAAATTTATTTAACCAAAAAAATCCTTTCCACAGTGCCACTCAAATAACAACTGTTTCAGGGAATACACCTTGGGAAGCATTCCTCTAAAGGCCAAAGGTATAGCAACCACTTCTAACTATCTTTAATACATTCTAATAAATCAGTTATCCAGGAATCCTTCTTGAACCCAGTGAGTTTTGATCTCTCAGGATAAGCCAAAGAATCTTTGTATAGTTTGTGTTGCTGATACTCATCAACTCAGCCATTTTCTATGAAGAAAGAGTTAGATGGCATCATCTGTCTGCCATCTACCCAGCCACCCAAGCCAGAAACCTGAGAAAGAATTTGTGCTTCTGCCTCTTCCTCTCCCCAAAACATTGAGATGTAACAGAAGCCTCCTAGTTCTACCTCCTCTGCAGCACAAGCCATCTTCTGCCTTTTGCCTTAGCCCAGCCCTTAGGACTTAGAGCAACTACACAGCAGTCCCTTTGTTATTCCTGCCATCCATCTTGCCCTATTCTCCACACTGCTGTTATACTGAACTTAATAAAACGCAAAATTAATGCTATCAATTTCAAGCTTAAAGTCCTTCAGAGAAGACAGACACCAAAGTATATAATCCCATTTACACAGAGGTCCAGAATAGGCAAATCTATAGAGACAGAGTAGATTAGTGGTTATCAGGGGTTAGGTGGTAGGAGAGGATAAGGAGTGAATGGCAACAGTATAGAATTTATTTTAGGAATATATGAAAATGTTCTGGAATTAGATAATGGAGACGGTATACAACTTTGAATATATTCAAAACCACTAACTTATATACTTTAAAGAGTAAACTTCATGGCATGTGGATATCTCAATAAACCTGTCTTTAAAAAGAACATGTAAACCCTTCAGAGACTCCTTACTGCCTGTATAAAATCCAAAATCCTTAGCACAAAGTAACTGTGATCTGGCTCATGTCTACCTCTCCTCACATTTTGCCCCACTGCCCCTAATTTTGCTAAACTACATTTCTTACACTTCCTTATCTTGTTGCACTGCATGCAAATGGCCTTGCATGGTAGGCTCATCTCTGACTCCCTGAAAAATACCTGTCTACCTTTCAAAACTCCACTTAACTTCTTGAAGAAGACTGTCTGTAGCACTGCTGCCTCCCATGGCACATCCCAGTCTAGCACCTATGATATGCAATTGCATTAACTTGATTACATCTAATTCCCCCAGTTTAAGCTGTTAGTTATACTGCTGCTAAATTTTTATGTCTTCTTTTCAATTAAATACTATTTTTTGGTGTGAGTGTTGCAGTATGGAAATTACTCTATCTCCTTACACACCTTAATCAAACTTCTCAGATACTTTCCAAGTATATTAGGAAGGTTTGGGGGTCCTACACTATTTCTGGAATGGTTGGGGCACATAGTTCAAACAAAAATTCCTATTTCTTTCAGAGTTTGGTGTCTTTTTGACTGCAGCAGCACATTTGAAAAATGTCTCCCAAAAGCCAAAGACTCATTCAAATTTTGGGTTATTTTCATAACATTTTGTGAAATAATTCTTTAGGTTTATGTAATTTCAGCTTTCTACTATTTGGGGAAAAGACTAACTCATTTGCAAACTTAAACTATTTATGAAAGAGCTGTATATTCCACAGCATTTGACATACTTAAAAGCATTCATTGTAGTACTCTATCACCACAGCCCTAAACCTGCATATTAAAATATGTTGCTAGCAAAACCCACAAGTGTTAAGAGTTCAAGAATTCAAGCATTGGATAAGGAAAAAAGACCTTCATTTTCACTAACCTCTAATTGAAATGTATTTCAATTTTATTTAATTTTATTTCCTTCAATTACAAAATGTGGGCAATGAACCACAACAAATATAACAACACCTATGACTTGGTCACTAACAGATGTCATCTATATTTCTGTATCTCAGTACAGTTGTTACAGATTTCTTAATATATCATTTATGCTCATCACCACTTCAAAATTACAGTAACCATTACATCTGCTACTAGACCTTGTTATTTAAATGCAATAAAATAGTACATTTATTACTTTACCATTAACTTTGCATTTTGATAATTATTTTATAATATAATTGGTTTCTTTTGTAATCTTATATATTTTGTGAATTAAAAACATTATTTTAAGAGGGCTTCATAAGACTGCCAAAGGAGTCCATGACACAAAAAATGTAAAAAACCCTAGGTTCTTAAGAATAACTAGAAGAATTAGAGATAAAAACATGCTTTTATTTAAACGGGGAATGGATAAGCCTTCTTCCCTATCCTCGGAAAAGAGTCAATTTCTGCATCACTCTGCTACCAAGCTAGTGAAATCAAAATTGTCCCTTATAAATAGGGATGCTACTTAAGGACAGCATAATACACTATCTACCTTCACTGTCCCATTTTCACTTTTGCTAATGCATCTCCATCAAAATGGGTCTGGGGGCAAAAGATGTTTAAGCAGAAATCCCCAGCTCTATTTCTCCCCAAAATGCATGCCTTCCAAAGTTATTACTGGCATCCTGGAGAAAAGAGAAGCTATTAACACTCCAAGTGTGTTTAGTAGACCTCACAACTCCAGTTTTTCATGAGTACATTCAAGCCAAGTGCAAAGTTTAAAATGAATCACTAACATGTATTGGTATTTTAAGATTTGTTTTGTTATCAATGCCAATTTTACTCATATAGTTCCCTTAGAGGCTGAGATGAAAAATATACAGAATATATATTTACCTTCGTGCAATTCCTTCCGCAGTTTCTCAGCATCTTCCTGTAAAACAGATTTCTGTGTATTCAGAACAGCTACATACATCTCTAGATCAGTCCTACAAGATTTCTCAGCTTCCAGATAATGGTTCAGTTCTTTAACCTGAAACAAGATGAATTTGTAATAAGTTAAAAATTTAAGTTTCTATCTTAGATATAATGGTAAGTTCTGGATGGGCCTTGGAGAAATTTTGCATTTATAGAAATTTATCACTTACAATTTTTAATTATAAAACATATACTTATTATAGAAGACTGGAAAAATTAAGTTAATAGTAGGCATTATCCATAATTATATCAGGGCAAATACACAATTCAGATTATACATAACAGTTTTGTACCTTGCTTTTCAAAAAGGTAGCTTTAATTTGTATTTCCAGAGCCACACACATATGTGCAAATATTTGACTTCTATTGCACACCCAGTAACCCATGTTGTGTTTTAAAACAGTACTTACTTTCTAAAGATAAAAATGGTAGCATATTCTAGTAAGTCTGCTTTTCTTTGATTTCTGGTGAGGTAATTCTAAATGCCCTAAATGTATAAAAAGGAGATATTTTCATATATACATATGGAAGGAAAAAAAGAGGAAGGCATGATGGAAAAAATAACTGGTCTTGTACTATAATGAACACAAATTTTGAAGGAATGCAGAATACTTTTTAAAATCATATCTTCTAAAAAATGCCTTATCTCTGTTTAACAATTTACAATAGCATTCAAATATTGATATATTCTAGTATCTGAACTAGTTAAAATCCAAATAAAATACAATCTTGCCCTAGAAGATTATAGAATCACCTGTTTTATCCTGCCTTACAAACTGTCCATCCTAAATTAAGTTAACTTTCAACACTTTCACATGGTTATATCTAATTTCACTTTCAAGGTCATTTTCATGCTTTTTATCTTCCTACTTCTTCAAACTTGAAATAGCTGGCTGATCTGTTTTCAATTATCTTTACTCCTTGACAAGTAATACATTAGTACTAGTCATAGACTAAAATGATTATGCTGCCATTTGATGCTTCACTGGAGCTTGTCAGCCCACCAAAAAGATACTAACCAAGTGCTGACTGTGGTAAGGCATCTTCCCTAACACCTGGACAGGGTGGTAATTCCGTTATGGTAAAAGAGAATCAATATAGCAGACATAAAATGGTGGTATGTAACAACTTCTTCTTAGAATAAATATTTACTTGTTTATTCCTTCTTAGAATAAACATTTGACTTCATTAATAATTAATGAATCTCTAACATTGAAAAGCTACTGAACAAAACTCTGGGAAGATGGTGGCAGTAATGGCACATTATGTGAATTTCTTTGAATTCCACATACCCTAACAACAGAGCTACTAAAATAACAAAACCAAAAACACACGGACATCTTACAAAACACCAAGGGGACAAACCACTGAAAGCTACCTATATGGCCTAAATGTTATCTGTATCTACACAGGAGAAAGTAAAAGGAAGCAACAAGAGTCCAGATAACCCCAAAATAGTCAAATAGAGCTCCAACTTGACAGGAGCAGCTGAGAAGAGTTTTATATACTCCAATACTGGGTAAATGCAACAAATCTGTATTGTAAACTTAAAATATGGCTAAGGTGAAATGGTATCCCATTTTCACTTACCTTTCCCTGATTTCTAATGAAGTTGAATATTTTTCACATTCCTTGACTATTCTGGTTTCCTCTTCTGTAAACTGATTGTTCATATTATTTACTTGTTTCTCTACTAGGCCATTTGTCACTTAAGGACATGGAAATTTTAATTAATTTTGGATACTAATTTTTGTCAGGTAAGAAGCATGGCTATAATCTAACAGTCTGTATCTTCTCTTTCCAACTTTTCGTAATACCTTTTAATACAGAAGCTTTATATTCTACACAAATTTATCTTTTCTTTCACACTCAGTATTTTGTATTATTTAAGAAGTGTTTTTGTACCACAAATATTCTCTTTTTTTAACATCTAAAAGTTTTAAAGATTTACTTTTCACTCTTGGGATTTTAATTCATTGAAATTAATTTTTTAAAGTGTGAGGTAGAAAGCTAATTTCACTTTATTCCATATTTTATAAGTATTTGAAAAGGCTGTTTCTTAAGAATCCATTCTTTTCCCACCAACGTATAATGTCACTGGTCATGTATCAAATTTCCAAATACATGTGGGTCTACTTCTGGGCTCTCTATTCTGTTTCATTGGCCCTTTTACACCAATAACAAACTAATAATGAACTATCCAATAACAAACTGTGTTAATTGTATAGCTTTACTGTAAGTCTTAATATCTGATAGGTAGGACAAGTCTCCTCACCTTGCCTTCTTTAGATTTTTGCTAAGAAAATTGTGCATACTTATGATCCTTTCTTTGACTGTATGAATTCTAGAATTTACTTATCAAGTTCCTTAATAAATCCTATTGGATTTTGAATGGTATTCTGAATTTATAGATTAGTCTGGGAATATACTGCCTGTTTTATATTGCTATATTATCTTTCCATTCAGGAAAATACATGCATTCAGATCTTCATTTAAAATTTATGCCAGAAATATCTTGTTTTTCTTCTGATATATTCTCAGGTAATTTACATAGTTTTGGAATTTTTTGTTTTTGCTATTATGAATGGGATCTTTATTCCCCATTACTTTAATTGGATATTACTGAAGTATACAAATACTATTATTGTTGTATGTTGATTTTGATGGAACAAGTTTCCCGAATCTTACTATGTCTAATAATCTGTACATTCTCTTGCTTTTCTACATAAAAAGTCAAATCAGTTTCACTGCATTCTTTCTAGTTCTTATGCCTCATTTCTTTATCTTGCTGCATTGTTTAGGACCACAAAAATAATCTAAACAAAATCACTGAGTTTAGGTTTCCTCACATTGTTCTTGTCATTAATCATAAGGCTGCTAAATACTTATCATTAATTATGTTTGCTGAAGGACTGACAGATAGACCTTTATTCAGTTGTTGACTTTTTTAATTTATCAAATGCTTTTCTGAACCTAAGGTGAATATATCGCTCTTCCACAATCCCTTTATGTGGTCCATAACAACAGGTTTTCTGTTGATATACCATCCTTAAATTCCTGGGAATATGCCCTATTTGATCATATCTTTTTTTTAAAGTACACTGTTGAAAATTTTTGTTTATGTATTCCTAAATAATTTAGATCTATAATTTCCTTTTCTTATACTACACTTTCTATGTGTTTGTAATGAAGTTATACAAGTCCTGTAAAATGAGTTGGAGAGCTTTCTCCATTCTCTAACAGTTTGTAAAATACAAGGATTGTCTTTTTTCCAGTTTGGGGAAAACTTGCCTGCAAAACCAACTGTGTCCAATGTCTTTTGGAACAGAAGTGATGAGAAAGGAAGAATGCAACATAAACACTTTCTTTAATATTTACTACTTTAGCTTTCCTATTTTATCTTGAGATAATTTTAGACAATTATCTTTATTAGAAATTTTTTCATTATCATCAAATTTATTTCATTTCAAATATGTTGGTGTGACACTGTTCACAGCATTTATTATTTTTAAATCTACTGATTTGTAGTTATGTTCCCTTTCATATCTAATGGTTTGAGTCTTTTTCTTTTTTCCTGATTAGTCTTACTAGAGGGTTATCAGTCTTATTAGTTTTTCCCTTTTTTTTCATTATATTGACATCTTTTCTTTTGCTTTTCTATTTCATTAATTTCTGCTCTTACCTATATTATCTCCTCCATTCACATTGTCTGTATTATTGTACTTTTTTTAGATTGAGTAAAACATTCAAATTTCTCTAAATATTTTACATTTCCCTTTTCCATGAGGTTTTTTTTTAATTTCCAGATATTTTATTTTAACTATAATTTGATTGTAAATAATATAACAACCTGTGGTCAGAGATTTGGGTCTGTATAACATCAGTTTTCTGAAATTTGTTGACACTTCCCTTGTGACATTATGAAAAGTATAACATACCTAAAACTAACAACTTTATTCCATGTACTACCTTAACTGTTTTATATGTGTTAACATACATAATCCTCACAACAGCCTTATGAGGCAGGTATTATTATATATTATTCTGAGGTACTATAATTATCCCCATTTTACAACTGAGAAAACCAAAACACAGTAAATTTAATTAATTTGCCCAAGGTCCCAGCTAATGTTGAGTTCCTAACTACTATGGATTACTATTGTATAAAATATAATCCCTTTTCCTTGGGTACAGGATTCTGTGTGTTTGTTATGTCTATTATTAATCAGGTTGCTCAAAACTCTTATATCCCTACTAATATATTTTCTGCTTGTACTATCACCTAATAAAGGTCATTTTAAATCTACTATAATTGTGTATATCAATTCCTCCTTGAAATCATTACCTGTTAGTTCATGTAGTTCTAAACTATGTAAGGTACATTCAAGTTCATGATTGTCATATCTTACTGATAAATTATTAGGTGTGGTCCTTCTTTATTCTTTTTTCTTTACATCCTGCTTCATATTATAATTGCTATATCAACTTTTTTTGGTAGAATTTATATGGCATATCTTTAAATATTCCTTTATTTTCAATCTTACCTTGCAGCTTTACTGTAGGTGTTCTTCTTATAAGTAATAAAAATTTAGACTTTAAAAATCCCATTTTAGTAGGTTTACATTTAGTAGGTTACATTATCAATTTACATTTACTAGAATTATTGATATATTACCATTTGTATATTCCTACATGTATTTCTACATCCTATGTTATGCTTTTGTTTACTCTCTTAGAATTATTTTCTTTCCTATTTTCTTTTAGCTAATTATTAAAATTTTTCAACGTTCCCTTTGTATTTATTCTGTTGTGTCTTTACAGCCAATAAATCCAGCCACACTATAACTAATCATTTCTAAAAGATCAATTCTGGGGCCAGTTTCAGAAAACAAGGTTAATTTTGAAGAGCTTATTTTCCTTGATAGGAAGATGAATGAGACCATGACTCACTTTGATAAGAAAATGATCATTAACTTTGTAACAAAGCAGGACAAACATTACTATTGTGATTATTTAAAATATCCATAAGGACAAAATCATCTCCAAGTATTGTTTAGCATTTTAAAGAAAGCAAAATTCTAAAGATACATAATCTAAATTACAGTTTTTAACCTCTTAGTGATTCTCATTAGTGATTTAATGCTCATAGCATTAAAGCAGAATCTTGGGTTTTAAGCAAATGAATTACAATGTTTCACAACCTTTGAGGCCTCCAACTCTTTAATCTTGTCTTCAGCCTCTGTCAGTTTATCTTTCAATGCTGCTATTTCCTTCTCCATGGGCATCACAACAGACCGAAGTTTTTCAGCATCCTCTTGGGCCTATTGTTAAAAAAAAGTAAAAGCAACACTTACTAATTTATTGCTTTTCTAAGAAATTCTGACCTGCCCACTTGTTAAAATCAGTAGGACAAATAAATCTACCAAGCTAAGCATGTAGGAGCACTCACAAAATTGAACCACATCCAACTTTTAAATGTTGCATTACTCTGAATATTAAGGCATAATCAGTTTTCCCAAATATTTCATGTAGAATTTATAAGCAGGAAAACAGATTCACTCAGACAAATATGACTTTTTAATTGAGTAACTGAGTTGGAAAATATCCTACATGTAAAAAGAAATACACATAATAAATACTTTAATTTTAATAATTCTGGCTACTAAATTAATGAAACTATAATTTTTTATGAATACTGAAAGGACTGGTTATTTTTTTAAACATAAAAAATAGAAAAATATATTTTCTAAAATATTAGAAAATCATGTTGCTATAAAAAGGCTTCCACCTAGCTATTTAAACAAAGTGCTTTATTATTTTACTTTTGATATTTAAACAAACCCAAAGAATGACCCCCTAAAACCATACTGTCTCCTGTCCTCCATTCTCAAAAACATGGATTAAAAGGAAACAATATAAATTAGTAAAATAGTAAAGCCTGATTTTCTATACACATACACACAGAAACAAAGGCAGACAAAAGTTAGCCTTTTCTCCTCTAATGAATATGAAAATTAACCTTATTCACTAATTTAAAAGAGTTCAAGCTTATCAAATTGTTCATGATAAGGAAAATACCTCATACCCCAAATATGAGTGGTGATTTTTCCTATAAAACGTCTCTCAGAAAAAAGGGGGCACTTTTGTTTTCTAGTCCACAAGTCATTTCATCATTTATTTTATTTTTAACTAAGTCGTGTTTGGAAAAGGCATGAGCTTAAAATTATATACAGTCAAGGGTAATTTGGGATGCTTACAGAGGTCTGCTGATAAAAATCAGCAGGGAAAAAATACGAAAAGGTTTTAACACAAATTGAGTTATTTATTAATGCAAAGATGACTCCAAGTGTTGCACATCATTATAAAAACTTTTAAAGGTGGTTTTTTAAAAACAGCCCAAAGTCATTAAAGATAAGGAAAATCTGAGAAACTGTCACAGCCAAGAGGAGCCTAAAGAGACATTACTAAAATGCAATGTGGTATCGTGGATGGGATCTGGGCACTGAAAAAAAAGTAAACACTAATGACATGTGAATACAAAGAATGGACTTTAATAATAATGAATCAATGCTGTTTCTTTCATCGTGACAAATGTACCATACTAACATAAGATGTTAATAACAAGAGAAATTGTGTGTGGAGTATATGGGAACTTTATAGTATCTTTGCAATTTTTCTGTAAGTCAAAAACTGTCCTAAAAAATAAGGTTTATTTTAAATAATGAAAACTAATTTTAAAAATGACAAGAAGTGGCACACTGTGGAAATCATGAATATGAACATATTAGAACAAAAAAAAAACTATACTCATGTGAATGGGTACTGTGGCTTCGAAGAAAATTTCTAATAACAGCATCAAATATTAATTTATCTCAAACAACTCGAGAGAAGTCAAGGCCGTCTACTTGGGTAACTATGTTAGATGACTAAGTGACTCTATTGTCAGATCCTCATGAAGACAGTCAATTATCATCTTTTCCTGAAATAAAAGAATGGAAAAAACTCTTCCTCAAGGTTCAAAGCTTTTGTTTGGGTATTGGGTTCTCGCATGATTTTTACATTATTTTTAAAGTTAATTAAATAACCTTCTTTATACCTAAAAGTAGTCCTTGAATATACCAAGGACTATGAACCAAGAATTACGGTTCATCCAACTGAAAACTCAAATTTGAATTATTATTTTACATAATATGTGACTTAAAAATATGTATGTATATAAATTACTAAAGTAAAAATTTATATAATCAACTGGTGAAAAGCTTTTTAAGTTTTCTCAGTGATAAAATGTTTCACCTTACATTTAGTTGGTCTATGTTTAGGCATCTTATGGTAACATGGTATTTTCATCACACAGGAAACAAAATATACTGAGAAAGAAGGAGAACTAACATCTGTTATAAAGCTTTGGTTTGGACAATATCACCAAGCAACAACATACATTTGTTAAATATTTATTGAGCACCTACATGCTAGACACTATTCTGGGCATTCAAGATACACAAATAAGACTCCCAACTTCATGGAGTTTACATTCTAGCAACAAGAGAAAAGCAGCAAATGATATACACAATATAAGGTGAACTCTCTACATATACAAGGAAATACTTGCTATGGAAAAAAAAATCAGAACAGGATAAAGGTGATCAGCAGAGTGGTGATAGGCAGGCAGGTTGCAATGTTAAATGGGATAGTCAGGATAGAACTCCTGAGGTGGAGTGGAGACATTTGGTCAAAGATCTGAAGAAGGTGAAAGAGTTAGCCATACATATATCTGGGGAAAGGGTATCAAGGTATCTAGAACAATCTATATTTAGGTCTGTGTCCAAATAAGTCCTCTAACAGAAAACAAAAAGTACAACTTCTTATGAGAATATTAATTAAAGCATCTTGCATTTGGCTTCAAGCATTTCTACAGATGAATATATTCCTTCATACCTTTTTCATTTCATTTTCTAAATTTTCCTCCTCTTGACCTTCAGACAGCCTTCTCCTTAAATCAGCTATTTCCCTCTCTGTGGATTCTCGATATTGTGCCCACTGTGTTCGCTCCTGCTCCAGCCTATGGTGGAACTGGTGCTCATAGTCACGAACTGTTTCTATAAAACATCACCAAATATTTCATGTCTAAGCATTTGGAAAAAAAATGTTCTGGCACACCCAAATTTAAAGAATAGTTATACAGTGACTGTAATGGGGTATGTGGTGGGGATTTGATAATGGGGGGAGTCTAGTAACCATAATGTTGCTCATATAATTGTATATTAATGATACAAAAATTAAAAAAAGTTTTTTAAGTAGTTATATAAAAAGCCTATGCTTATTTTCTGAAAATGTTTAAATTCCCTAAAAAAAAAAAACCCACTAACATTTCTAGTTCTTATATGTAGAAATTTTGCTAAGGGCTTTAAGTCATCTCTCATCTTCACAAAAATCTTGCCATATATTATTTTACAGATGAGGAATGCTTAAGAAAGGTTAAATTAGCCAATGTTTCATAACCAGAAAGATCAGAACTAGAATTCAAACCTAAGGCCAACTCCAAAACCTATGTTCTTAGACACCACTCTATGTTTTTAAGACACTATACTATGGTTCCTACAGCAAACACAACTCATCACCCCTATCCAAATACCTGAAAGTGTGAGAAAAGGGAATTATTTCTGGACTATTTTACGGCAACCTAAGATTCTAAATTGAGACAAATTCTATGTCTTTATAAGTGGCTTTATATTTAATATAAACTTAAAACATAATGTGATAAACACTGCTGGCTGCCCATTAATTTCCACTCCTTCTTTCTTACTAACAAAACCCCAATTTGGTTAGGAAGTCAATGACCCAATTTAAAACTAGATTTTCCAGGTGCTTTTGTAGTTATGGGTAACCAAACACACACCCCAATAAAGTGTGTGTGCAGGGAGAGGTGGGGTAAACACTGGAGATTTCTGAAGAATTTTTGCTTTTCTGAGGCAGACTGGAGGAAGAGCAGCCATTTTTCGCCGTAAAGCAAAATAAAGTTGAAAATCACATGCTAAGGATGAAGGAACAGAAGGACTGAAGGAGGCTAGGACACTAATGTCATCATGGAACCACTGTAACCAGCCCAAGACTACCTAACTTCTGTACTTCTTCTGTGAGAAAATGAACTCCTGTTTGGGTAACCTACTATAGTAAGTATTGTAACACAAAGCTTACAGTAATCACCAGGTGATAGCCACCACTTCAGGGATAGGGCTAGTCTTACCTGCCTTTGTACAAAGGGCACTAAGGCAAAAATGATACATAACTAAGAAGACAGAAAAAAAAAGTCATCACTATTTCACATTTATAATATTATCTCAACTAATTCTAGGAGCCCAAAGATTTATAGGGCAACTTAATTCATCTCATTATCATCTTCTCAGAAATGCCATACATAATTGAATACTAGGATCAACAGCAGACAGAGACTGAACTACTAGCCTTTCTATAGACCAAAGGTTACTAGCTGGCAGCCCATAAAGCCTGTTCTGACCTATAGGCAATTTTACCTCATAGATTGCAGTGACAATTTCATTTAGAAATATAAATTTTTCTTAAAAATGTAAAATTATAGCAGCACTGTACTGGGAAGGCAATAATTAACTAGAACTAACAAGCGTAAGTAGTAACTTTTCTCTTCAGCACACTCCCTGTGCCCATACAGCTTTATTCTTGACATTAGCTGTCTACCTCCTATAAACAAATCCATTTTGATGTCCTGCTTTAAACCTTACGATGAACTATAGTTGTTATTTAATGCAGTATCTCTGTAACATTCCCATTATAATCCTCCATCACTCAATTTGTTAAATATATAGATGATATACCCATTTACAGTATCATTGGCTTCCCTTTTACTTTGACATCTTGAAGATGATAAAACCACAAATAAAACTCTGGGTATATTTTAAGACCTTCTGAAAATGTTAGCAATCATCAGAATTACTTATCTTAGAAAATTGTAGAGCAGATCTAATTTTGTCTTTACCTTTCATAACAGCCTGAAGTGAAGCAACTTCTTCTCTCCACTGTCTTTTCACTTCATCTATAGCTTCTTGCTTGGTGTTCTCAGAAACTGTGGCAATGGCCTTAATATTCTCCATCTCTGCTTGAGCTTCCCACAGCTGTGTCCGAAGGTGTCCCAAATCATCTTGTGCAGCTTGTAACACTGCATTTTGCCTCTTCAGATCCTCTGGGAAAAAAGTAACAGACTTTCCATTAATGAAGTGTTCACTGTTATCAAGCTGACATTCCAATAAAGAAATAGAGCATTAAACTTATGTTAACATTCTGATGAAGAAATTAAGCATTACATTTTTAAGCATTAAGTTAGAAAAATGAAATCATTTTAATAAAGGCAAGATTTAAGGTATACTAGGTATCACAAATCAATTATTAACTATCTAACCAGATAAAAAACATATTTTTAGAGCTAAATTTAGGCTCTTTTACCCACTGGATAGGTGAGCTTACTTAATCAAAGGCCTCGGTTTGCACATCTACAAAATGGCAGTAAAAATACCCACCTCAGAAGGTAGTTTTTGTGAGTAGACAATTTATTAAAAATGCTTATTAGTATAGTACCTTGCACAAAGTAAACATTCAAGAAATGGTTATTAAAAAAAGAAGCCAGAGTACACGGCAATTACTAGATCAGGTTTTTTAAAAGTTGGGATTCATTTCTCAGCACAACTTTTCTTAAACATTGGTTGATCTGATATGCCTCCTATATGATTTAAACATAGGTAGGGCATATGTTTAACCAAACTGACTTCCAAAAAAGATGAACCTACCAACAGTATATAGGCTTGTGTGTGTTTTCCCATACCCTTACCAATAGTCACCAATTTTCCATTTTTAAAAAATTTTGCTGACATCCTCAGTAGAAAATGATGATAGTTTTAAACCATATTTCCCTATGAATAGTGAGGTTTAGTATCTTTCCATAAATTTATTAGTGACCATGTATTTCTTCTTTGGTGATATCCTTTACCTCTGTTCCTAAATGCTTTTCTTCTGATTTAGAAGAATATTTTATATATACTGGATATTAAACCTATTTTCTCTTAAAAAATTTTTCCCAGTTCACTGCTGTCTTTTTTTTTATATCTTTTGCCATCCAAAAGTTACAAGATGTTTATACAAAACAATTTTTCATCTTTGCAAAGTAATCAATTTCCTTTACAAAGCACAATAACCAAGCCATAAAACCAACCAGCCATAAAAACAACTTAAGAGCTAATGTTACATGACTAACCAGCTGTATGACTTTAAGGGAATTACAAAACCCTCAAACTAGGAACAGTGGCAGTATTTTCCTAAGTACTTTTAAAAAGTCAAATAAATAGTATCAATTAAAGAACTAATAAAAGTTGTGTAGACATTCGCCATTATCAAACAATCATATGAATTAACAATTTGGTAGTCTAAAAGTAATGGAAAAAAGCCTAGTAGTGCTAATTTTAAGTAAAATCATTTAAGAAATCTTTCCTCTCAAAGTCAGTTTCACATCATTTGGTCACCACTATCAAGATATTTTGAAACACTAGCCAGAGACAGTTATAAGAACATTAATTGCAGAAAGTAATTATCTAAACTATCTTTAAGGAAGGTTGAATATCTAAGAAATCATGGTAGGTGTGAATGGGAATGACCCAGAAACTGAAAGTCACAAGCATGTGAAACCATAAAATTTTTTTTGTGTGTGTGTATCAGCTCTGTATCCTAAGTATTATTTTATAAAACGTGAAATAAAAGAAAAAGTGTCATTCCTGGAATACTTAACTCGTTTCTGAGAATTACAATTTTGTCAACGCTGAAGTTTATGTACTTAATACCTCCTCAATGCTAATTATTCCTGCTACTTTTGGTTTGTTGGAAATTACCCAGAGCTACCCACTACCATGTTGTCACTACGAACAGAAAAACTGCAAGCAAATACCAAACATAAAAACTAATTTTTGGCCTGTCTCTGCACAGCTAAAAGCAGTATAAACAGCCTGGAAGACGATTAGGCCAAATTTCATTCCTAAATTACTTTACATATATTTAGGTTATATCTGTACATATATTTAAACCAGAAAATAAATAGAAGTTAAAAATAAAATTAGAAAAACTTAAAATTTTGTAGCAAATCATTTCAAGTATGTTAGCCAATGGTACAAGTTATTATTAAAGACAAATTATTCATTTTTTGTATGTGTAATTACAATGATTATCAAATTCAAAAGTTGACATGACAGTACAACAGTCCTTCACATATCTATCACCAAGATTCACCAATTACAAGATTTTGCCACATTTATTTCAACTATCCTTTTACTTTCCTTAACTTTTTAAAGGCCCCAGAAACCATATTACATCTGCATATGCATCTCTAAAGACATGGGAATTTTCTTACAAACTTGCCATTGTCATACCTAACAAAACCGACAATTGCTTGATACAATCTAATACCCAATCTGTAGTAAAATTTCTCAAATTGCCACAAAAATGTCTTTTTGAAGATTTGTTTGAATTAAGATCCAACAAGACACTTCATTTGTTTAAACTAATGCTTTATAATGCTTTTCAAGCATAGGGGCAAAGAATTCTATGTTGGACACCAATTACCTGTCACCTTAGCTTACCAATTTTGCATATTAGTCCTGCACCTGCTTCAATTTCTTTTTAATCTTAAAAAATAAAACATTATAAATACACAGCCTTTCTCAGAGGTAACAACTAACAGGAATTGGGAGTTATTACCATGCATATTTTACACTTTTATGTTGCAGGTTTTTAAACTTTAATGCTCCTGAAGCATGGAATTCTTCTGCAATTAACTCTTATACCTCAACACTGTTATCAAGATTGTTAATACATATAACTACTTTATTCATTAGCTCCAATATCATAGTACCAATCAATATATTAACTATTACTTTCATAGGCAATATTTTTCTATACAAATGTTCCCATTGTTTTACACCCACTGCCCCAGTCTTTTCCCATCTTTAAAATGCCACCTACGTCATGTATCAAATTTGCACTTATGTGAGGGTCTGATTACAGAACTTTTAAAAAAATGTCTATTTGCCTATTCTCGCACCAATACTACACTATTACAGTTTTGTCTACTCTTGCATATGCTTAAAATTTCCCATAATAGTTTAATAAACAGGCTATGACAGTTTTGAATAAAGTATGGGAACTTTCCCTACTCTCAGATATCATAAGCTATTATTACAACCCTCATATCCCCACCATCCAGGTCCAGCAATCATAAATCCATGGGCAATCTTGCCCCATTAACCTGTTTGCACTCCATATCATTTTGAGATGGATCAGACATTTTTTTTAATTAATAAACTTTATTTTTTAAAGTAATGTTAGGTTCACAACAAAACTGAATAAAGTACAGAGTTCCCATACACAGCTGACCCTTGAACACAGGTTTCAACTGCGTGGATCTATTTATACATAAACTTTTTCAATATATATACTGGAAAGTATTTTGGAGATGTGTGACAATTTGAAAAAACATTTTCTTTTCTCTAGCTTACTTTAATGAAAGAACACAGTATATACTACAAGTAATATACAAAATATGTTAATTATCAAGTCCCCACCACCCATACCCCATTGCAGTCACTGTCCATCAGTGTAGAAAGATGCCACAGATTCACTATTTGCCTTCTCTGTGCCACTCTGTTTTCCCCAAGAAACCGCCCCCACACACACCATTTGTACTAAACATAATACCCTTCAATCTCCATCTCCCTCCCTCCCAACCCACCCTCCCACACCCCTCCTCTTTGGTAACTGCTAGTCCCTTCTTGGAGTCTGTGAGTCTGCTGCTGTTTTGTTCCTTCAGTTTTGCTTCGTTGTTACACTCCACAAATGAGAGAAATTATTTGGTACTTGTCTTTCTCTGCCTGGCTTACTTCACTGAGCACAATACCCTCTAGCTCCATCCATGTTGTTGCAAATGGTAAGATTTGTTTTCTTCTTATGGCTGAACAGTATTTCACTGTGTATATGTACCACATCTTCTTTATTCATTCATCTACTGATAGACACGTTGCTTCCATAGTGATATCTCTTTTTTAAATATATTCACAGACTTAGGCAACCATCACCACAATCAATTTTGGAACATTTTAATCACTCCAGAAAGAAACCCAGTACTCTTTATCACCCCTCAACCCATTAGGCCCTAGTTCTAGGCAACTACGAATCTTTCTGTCCCTATTGATCACCCATTCTGGACATTTCCTATAAATGGAATTATATAATATGTGATACTTTGTGACGGGTTTCTGTCACTTAGCATAATGCTTTCAAGGTTCATCCATGTAGTAATTAATGTCAGTACTTCATTCCTTTTATGAAGGAGTAATAAAAACTATTTGCTTATCCATTATCAGTTGGTGGGTATTTGAGTTGTTCCCCACTTTTTGGCTATTGTGAATAATGCTGCTATGGAAATTCATGTGCAAGTTTATGTATGGACATGTTTTCTTTTCTCTTGAGCATGCACCTGGAGTGGAATTGCTGGGTCAAATGGGAACTCTATGTTCAACCATTTGAGAAACTAAGACTACTTTTCAAAGCTGCTGCACCACTTAACATTCCTGACAAGTGTTCAGGTTTTGATTTCTCTACAGCCTCACCAACACTTGTTAATAACTGACATTTTGATATAGCCATCCTAGGGGATGTGAGGTAGCATCTTGTAATTTTCATTTACTTTCCTGAAAACTAATGATACTGAGCATCTTATCACATATGTGCTTACTGGCCATTTGTATATCTTCTTTGGAGAAATGTCTATTCAGATCTTTTGACTTTAAACTGGTTGATTTTTAACTGGGTTGTCTTTTCGTTATTGAGTTGTAAGAGTTCTTTATGTAATCTAGATAAAAGTCCCCTATGTAATATAATACTTGTAAAACTTTCCCCATACAGTAGGTCATCTTTTCACTCTCTTGATAGTATCCCTGGAAACACAAAAATTTTTAATTTGATGAAGTCAAATTTGTTTTTCATTGATTACTTTTGTTCATAGTGTCACGCCTAAGAAATCATTGCTTAATTCAAAGTCACAAAGACTTACTCCTATGTTTTCTTCTAAGAATTTTATAGCTTATCTTTTAAATCTAGGTCCTTGACACACTGAGTTTATTTTTGTAGACTTTAGGGGACCAGAGT